AAGGACAGTGAAAAATGCTCCCCAGGCCGATAGCTACCTACCACGTACCTGAGGACGCGTTAATGTGCTCTAGGAAAGATACCATGTGCGGCACAGTGGCTGCAAACAGAACTACCACTTGGTTGATTCCGCTGTAGTCCATGGTCACCTTCCAGGATCCCTTTGATTTGTGCAGGGACCGGACTGGTGAGTGGAACAGAGATAATGAGATCACCGTCCCTGCATCCTTCAGGTCTTCAAGGATGGCATTAATCCTTGCCATTCCCCACTTATTAGTAAGGTCGAGCATCTTCTAATATGTTTATTGGCTTATTTCCTTTTCTTTGAATTCCCATAATTCATAATCATTTGTCTGTCTCTTTCATTAGACTGAGCTTCTTGGGGCCAGAGACAATGTCCCATTTATCCCCGTGACCCGTGGACCTGGCTCGTAAGAGCTCAACAAATATGCACTGAATGAACATTTTAACAGGATGAACAAGCAGCATTTGATTGGACATCCTGAGCTCCTTGGATCTTGAAACTAAGCTCCTTAGCTGATGGGTAAGCCTGTCCCTGACAGCAATTTTATCATTTTGGTTGATTTAAAAGAAAACACAATGTCATCCAATCAAACCATCTCTCTTTTGAAACCAAGGCAGTGTCACCGACCTAATCGAAGCTCCCAAAGCCTTGTTTTCTGGATGGACTCCCTTTGATAGCAATAATGGGCAGTAACAAGCTGAGCCCCCGCCCCATCTGGCTGTGATAAACACATCCAAAACACATTACAAATCTCAGAGTGAAGCTCTGGGGCCTGAGGCTGCAGCAAAAGAAAACCAAGGTTGACAAGCACAAGTTTAAGAACCTGATATTATATAAATGAAAAAAGGCCAGCTGCCTATTCCTTCACCACTGAACAAAGTAAATGCATTATCTGAGCTTCCTGCCATTTTTCAAAACCTGGGACTCTCTAATGCTATCCGTTTGGTCAACTCTAAACTTCATTTGTCAAAAAAAAAAAGAAAAAAAAAGAAAAGGAAGATCTCTGGTTGACTGAATCTCAAGTGTTTCTTTCCTTTGCCTTAAATTTTTGGGTTTAATTTTTTTTTAAATTTTCTTAAATATGCTTACGTAGGAACATTTTTTATCTTCGTAAAACACACATCTTATTAAGTCCCTCAGCTCCTCAAAAACTTCTCATGCCTCCCATCATCTGAAGGCCAACATCCAACTCCTGCACAAGGCGTCCGAGGTGCTGGCTACTTTTCCTCCCCCCCATTCTTAAGAACTTTCTACTCCCACCACACATTACTTGCCTCTACTGAAACAAGCCACGCCCTTTACACCTGACAGTGCTCCCTCTGTGAAGAGCTCCTACCTATCTTTTGAGAGTTAGTTCAAACGTTAACTCTCTGTGAAACTCTCCTTCCCCTAGAATGGTGTTAACCATTCCTCTTCCCAGTTTCTCAACACGTTAGATAAATATCTACAGTAAATACCTTCTATCTTATACTATAATTATTTACCTATGTGTCTGTCTCCCCACCAGACTAAGAGCTCCCCGAGGGTAGAAATTGTATCTCATATGTTAGTTTCCCCAGGGCCAGTGCAGCCCTGGGCACACAGCAGATGGGCACCATTTGTTTGCTCAGTGAATGAATGAAAAGACCCAGGCCCTACCCAGGGGCCCAGAACCTCCAATCTAACCACAAGGAAAGGACCAATAAGCTAGTGGAGTGGACTTTAATGGTGCTTAATTTCCCAATTTCCTCTAGCAACTGAACACACCAAGAAGACATACTCATGCCTAGACTTACAGGTAACTCAGAGGTCCTAGGAACCTCTCTTAGCCCAGTTCAGGATCAGGAGCTGACCCTTTCACTGTGAACAGGCTGGAGCTCAGAGGTGCTTCTTCGTGGGTGGGTAAGCTTACGTGGGAGTCTGTGAGCCTCCTTCCCTTTGGCAAGCACTCAGAATAGCTCCATTAACGTGCATGGAAATTCTGCACATGCATCAAGGAGAAAACAGCCACAAATAACAGAGCCTGTTTTCCAAATCTCCAAAGCACATCTCTGCAATCATTTCACTCTCTAACTATCACCACTGAAGCCTTTCAGCCAGACAGCAATTTGTTTTCAACTTACTCTGGGTTCCTAAGTTAGCAGAACTCTTTGGATGTTTATAAATGAAGCTTCCTCCTTCCTGTCCCTCTCCCTACTCCAGGCTTCTCTTCCACACAGCCTGGTAATAAGAAACTAACCAGTTCCTGCTTGCAATCAGTCCAGATTCCTTCACTTTGTCCTCAAGACCCTTCAGATTTGTCCTGGTCCTTACCTTTCTCTCCAGCCTCATCTCCAGGTACTCTCCTGCAGATGTCCTCCACTCCAGCCATCCCAATCACCTCCCAGCTATCACAGTTCTGGGGCTTGCCATACACCTCAACCACCCAATTACCTATTTCTGCCCTTTCAGACTGCACACAGGTTATCGCCTCCTCCAGGAAGCATTCCCCGATTGGATTAGATGCCTTCTCTGTATGTCTACAACTGGTCATTCAACTACTCAATAAATAGTTATGAAGACCTCGCTTGTGCCAGGCTCTGTTCTAGGTGCTGGACATACAGCAGGAACAAAACAAAGACTCTGCTATCAAGAAGCTTAAATTCTTGGGCGCCTGGGTGGCTCAGTTGGTTGAGCCTTCGGCTCGGGTCATGATCCTGGAGTCTCGGGATCGAGTCCCGCGTCGGGCTCCCTGCTCAGCGGGGAGTCTGCTTCTCCCTCTGACCCTCTTCCCTCTCGTGCTCTCTCTCATTCTCTCCCTCTCAAATAAATGAAATCTTTAAAAATAAAAAAAGAAGCTTAAATTCTTAAAGGAGGTGGTGGTGATAGGCAATGAAGAAATAATGAACTGTGTCAAATGGGGAATAAATACTCTGAAGAAAAATAAAGCAGGGTAGCGTATTAACTAATGAGTGGGAGGGACGGCTGTTTTATTTAGGGTAGTCAGCAAAGGCCTATCTGATAAGGCAAACAGCAACCTGAATCGAGGGAAGACAGGAACATGCAGATATCCACGGAAAGAGCACTGTGATAGGGGGAAGAGTTAAGTGCAAAGGCCACAAAGCAGGAACGTGTCTGGTGTGTGTTGTTTGGAAGTAAGGGAGCCAGTGGGACCATACAGGTGTGAGAAAGGGAGAGACTTTTAGGAAATGAGGTCAAAGAGGCAGCCAGGAGCTAGATCATGTCGGGCCTTGTAGGACATGGTAAGGGATTAGGATTTTGCTCTGAGATGGAAGGCACTAGAAGGTTTTGAGCGGAGAAAAGCTAGGATTTGTTTTACATTTTAAGAGGTTTGTTCCAGCTACTGTGTTGATACTAGATGATAAGGGGAACAAGAGTGGAGGCAAAAAAGGCACAGACACATGGATATCCATTAATTCCACAGATATGTACTGGGTACTGCTATGGGACAAGCACTCAGCTAAGGACTGAAGGTACCCAGATGAGTAAGACAGGATTTCTGAATTTTGGCAGGATTTCTGAGGGAAGTTACAATCGAGTGGGGAGAGAATCAAGAGCGTAACCACAGAACATGTGGGTATGTACAGAACAGTATACAGGGTATTACGGTAGGGACAGGGGAGGGAATTAGGTAGACAGTAGCATTCCAGAGAGAGAAAACAACACGTAAAAAGGCTCAGAGTGGGGGGTGACACGATGGGCTTTCCAGTTTTGATATGTCACTCTGTCTCTAGCACAGAGAAGTCAGTTTGACGACGTTAAGACTGGAGGCAGAAGGACCAGTTAGGGGGCCACATGGTCATCTGGACAAGAGAGGATAAAGTCCTGAAGTTGTACTAGAGATGGAGAGGAGACAAGAGATTCTAGATCTATGTGAGAAGTGAAACCATAAGGACTTGGTTGGGTTGGGGCTGGGGGAGGCAATGAAAAGCCTAGGCTGACCCCCAGGTTTTTAGCTAAAGTGCCAGTATTACCAAGTGAAAGAAGAGAGGTCACATTTGAGATGCCCGAGAACTCTAGGAGACATTGTCTGAAACTCAGGGAACAGGTATAGGCTGAAGGTACAGACTGGAGCGTCATCGGCATGTACGTGATGCCTAAGAGCATGAATGGACGAAATCAACCGGGAAGACTGTATATGTCAAATAGACGAGTTTTAAATGGTAAAGCTGCCACTCACCATCTGTGTGACTCTGTGAGCCTCACCTTCCTCTTTTTTTTTTTTTAAGATTTTATTTATTTATTCATGAGAGACAGAGGGAGAGAGAGAGGGAGGGAGAGAGAGAGAGAGAGAGAGAGAGAGAAGCAGAGGGAGAAGCAGGCTCCCAAGGAGCAGGGAGCCTGATTGCAGGACTTGATCCCAGGACCCTGGGATCGTGACCTGAGACGAAGGCAGACGCTTAACCATCTGAGCCACCCAGGCACCCTCACCTTCCTCATCTTTAATTAGGTATTAGTACTATTAATTTTTTAAATGTCTCCCACAGTGCTGAGCACATAGTTAAGTGCTCAATTATTACTCTAGCTCCAATAGTTATGAGCAGTGGGGAACCGAACAAGACACTCTGCTTGGTGAGCCTCGGGGTCTCAGTAAGTAGGTGTTAAATAAATGAAGAAGTCTAAAAAACTGAAATAATACTTACGAATACAACAGATGAGAAGGGTAAACTGGATTATTAAAACACGACATAAAGATCAATGTCAATGCTAATAAATCATCTTAGGAAAGATATCTAACACTTAGAAAGCAGATGACGTTAGGCCCCTCCCTTTTGTCCTTGCTTTTTAACTTAGCCCCTCTGTTTTTTTTTTTATTTTAATTCCCCCATTCTATTGGCTCCTCCTTTTCAGATTATAAACACGCTCTAGTCTCCCCTAACCTAAAAAGCCTTCCTTGGGTCTTGCTATCGCCCTCAAACTCTTGTCCAATCATTATTTTCACCAACTATCCCCTTTCTCAACCCTGAACACTTTTCAATGAACAGGCCACACCTTTTGTTTTAGGAAAAAAAAAAGTCCCAGTTTATTATTACTTTTAAAGAGCAAATACCATTTACGTAATTGTTCAAGCAGGCCTGTAAGTGGCATTTCATTTTAGAATATAGACATATTTGTTTTTCTACTATGGTAATTCATTTCAAGAGAAATTTCATCATGTATCTTCTACAGAGCCCTAAACCAAGAGCCAGCGTATTCAAATAAACCTCAAGGTGTGGGGAGGCTTCAGGCCAGCTCCTCATTAGAAGCCTCAGCATGGGGGCTCTGGAGACCACTGCAGAAGGTCTTCCAGGGAGAGCTGCAATGTTCAGATAAGTGAGTTCTGGAAAGAAGGGGTAGTTGGCTGGCTCCAGCAGGCTCACCCCTGGGGTAGAGCAAAGAGAACAGACAGGGGAGTTCTGACAGGCACCGGAGCTGTCTAAACTCAGGGGGACGGGACTGAGCGAGCAGCAGTGGTAATTGAGTTTCAGTTACCTGCAGGGTGGCGAAATCAAGCAGTCACTTCATCTGCCTGACATGGGGATGTTCAGAGGTGTCCTTGGCACACTCCCAGTGAAATCCGTCACCCTTTCACCGGGCTGGGTGACGGCAACCGTGCCACGCTTCCTAGTGCCAGCAGCCTCGTCCCGTGCGGCACACGAGCGCACTACAGCTGATGCAGCCTCTCCCGCAGGCCCGGCTCCCAGGGCTCCCCACATCCTCTGTCTGAGGGAATGGCGCCAGGGGAAAACTCGGCACCACCAGCGGCAGCCGTCACCCAAACTCAAAAGAGTCTTTGAATGGCAGAGAGACAGGCCCATTTTGCTTTCTGCCCAGCCCAGTGCTGGACCCATCCTCGCGTCATTTTTTGTGGTTCTGTACAAACGTGCCGACTGGCAGCGAGCCGTTCTTCACCTGAGCCCGGATTTCAGCTCGATGCTTTAATGTGAAGACCAGGGCTCTCACCGTCCGCCGGTATGGCCCGTTAATGAGGCGGGAACAGAGATGAAACGTTTCCCGCTCAATATTTTCAACCAGTAGGTGATCCATCTAAAAAACAGCAAAATTATCAAATTAGGGCCTTGCATTGCATAAGGATTAAAAGCAAGAGAGGCTGGAGCACTCCGCTCAGAGGCCTCCATTAATCAACTGAAATTCAAGGACATCTACTTCCTGTCACAAGAGAAACAGGAAGAGCAAATTAATTCCACCCTAGCAATTAAGGAACAAGGCCATGTGCTTTGTGACAGGGACCTCATTCACAACCCCTGCCGGGTGGTAATATTTGCCATTATAACAGGAAACTGGCCTGAACTAAGCAACGGGTACTGGGCCCTGTACTTTACCAACCAGGAAACCAAGACCAAGGGTAATAAATCAGTGTAACAGTTTATACTTTTTTTGGTTTTTAGAGTGCCTTTTAACCCCTTACAGCATTTCAGACACACAGGGTTTGGGTCTTGGTGTGTGTGTAGAGCAGCTTATAAATCACTTTTCATATTTAATGCTCACAACTCCTGTTACCTCATTTTCTAGATGAGGAAATAGGTTCAAGGGTAAAGAAAGGTTCAAGGTCTTCCAACTAAGACTCTGACCTGGCGCCCCGGACCCCAAAGTTCATGTTCCTCTCCTTTCATCGTACTAACTGACCCCTTACATTCGGAGAGACCAGTTGAGTCTCAAAAGACCTCCGCAGGGCCAGCTGAGCAGAGCAGGCCTGTGGGATGGGACCTGCAGCAGTTCTGGGGTGGTCCGGCTCAGGCCCAAGCCCTCCTCAAGTCACAGACCTCATCAAAGCAGCACAGGTCTAGGTCTTTTGCGCACGGTCAGGATCCAGGCCAGACTGCGCTCCTCGTCAGGCAGGCCCCCTTCACTACCCTCCTTTCCAGGCCCATCTCCCACTACTTGTCTTGCCAGTCCTGACCACAGCCCAGCCTGAGCAAGTGAAGGTACTCTGACATACCGCTGGGCCGCTGCCCACGTACATGCTCCCTCAGCAAGGTCCATTTTTCCCAGGAAACATATTCCTATTTGCACGTCAAAGCTGAGCTAAAAACGAAAAAGCAAAAAAAGCAAATCCTAGCTCAAAGAACTGAAAATTCTTCCTTGGGTGGCCACAATGTCCTAAGCTTCCCTTAAACATTTTCACAATATATTAGAGTGATCTATTTTCTGTGTTTGTCTTCCCTGATAGTGAGTTCCTTGAAAACAGGAAACAAATTTCTCTTTTTCACTTGCTTTTTTCCCTTCCCTCCTTACCACGCCACTCATTCAAATACTTATTCAGCACTTACTATGTGCCAGGCGCTGTGCGTGGGCTGAGGAAAAAGCAGTGAACAAGGCCGACAGTCCTTGACTCCATGGAGAGTACAACCCCGCTGGAGAAAGGTAGAGAACAGGATTCTAAATGTACTGGGTACTAGGAAAGGGGACAGGAATAAGTGCTGGGGTACAGAGCTATGGCATAGTGCCCCATCCCAGGAGGGCAGCACCTGGCTGCAGGAGGGAATGATGTTTGATCCGAGACCTCTCTGGCCAGGTGAAGGGCGTTTGCTTGGTGAGAAATTCACTGAGCTCTATGTATATCTTCTGTGCACTTTGCTACATATGTACTATACTTCTATTTAAAAGAAAAGTTTAAGAAAAAGTGTACCAAAAAGAAAAAAGGAACGCCCGATATTTGATAAAATGTCCTCACATAAGACCAACAGACCAAAACAAATAGAAAAAGGAACTTGGAAGAATGAAGGACCGGGCAGAATATAGAACAGGACTGAGAGAGAGAAAGACAATGACAGGGAGAAGGACTATCTAGGCCCAGACATCTGCCTATGTGTAGCAGACAAAAGATGTTCAGGGAAGTCTGTGATCCTGATGACCGACCATCTCCGAGGCTCGTGCTGGAGAAGTGCACTTGGCACCATGGTTCTTCAGAACCCAGATTCCTCGAGCTTTTCATGGACTCCTGGGTAGGCACCAAAGTAGCCCCCCCAACCTGAGGCAACCCTGGTACCAGACTACTTTAGTAGGAGGCAGGAAGGGTGGCTAGCTGTCGGCCCACCGTCCAGCAATGCTGCCAGAGAGGCCCCTCATCCCAGGGGGAGGATGGTCAGTCACTGACTGTTCAGATACACTGAATGTAACAGACAAGAGGAAGTCTTCACTTTTTTTTTTTTTTTTTTGAGGACAGTGGTTGTGGGGGGAGAAGGGTATGTGTGCATTTGCAAAAATACGTCATGGCAATTCCGTCAAACTGTAGTCTGTATGTAAAAAGAACTTTGAGAAAGCCTTGGAATTCACATAACTGAATTATCATCCATACCTCATTCAGCAAATAGCTACTGAGTGGCTACTCTGAGTCTGGCCTGATGCGGGTATTGGAGACCCTGAGCAGAAAAGACCTGACCCCTGCCCTCCGGAAACTCACAGTCAAGAGAGAAGATGGCACATATGCAGATAGCCGTGGGGCAGGGGGGTGGGTGCTGCACCAGTGATGTGATGGGCAAAGGAAGCAAGTACCTAACAATTCTCATGTATGCCTCTTGTTAAAGGAAGGCCAATCACAATGAGGAGAAACATCAGTGGTATTAAAATGTAAGTCATAAGGGAAAATAATTCATCAAAGTGAGGAGTGTCTGTCTTCTAGCTGCCTTTGGATATTTCAAACCCATCCAGGTTGAGTCCCTTCCAATGGGTCCCAACCTGGTGATTCAGGTTAGTCCTTCTGGGTGAAAGGACCAGAGTCGCACTGAGACCTTGAGAAAAAGAGGTTTTGCTGTGAGATACATCCACAGGAGTGGGAATGGGAGCAGGAATGGGAAACATTGGAATGAACAGGAACAAGAAACCTAGGGATTTATTTAGGGACCACATCCTTTCTCTTGTGGGTCTCGAGATCTGCCTGGTCTCTTTCTCACACGCTCTTGCTCCTCTCCATCTGCCTTACTCACTGCCAATTCTAACAGCCTTATTCTTTACCCCGGTGCTACCCATCTTTAGCCAGCTTCTGCTCCCTCACAACTCCTCCAACACCCCCTCTGCTTCAACACTCCCACTGTTGTTTCCTTGCTATTTCCTAGTTCACACTTCTCAGGGACAGAGCATCTGATCGGCCTTGCTTATCTATTTGTACCTGTAAGTTAGCTGTATGTTATTCAGTTGTCCAATTGTGGACGAACCAGTGGTAGCTGGGGAAGATATAAAACATGACCACCTAGAGCTAGCTTTCCTCAAGGATTCTGGACCCAGTGGGAAATGGTGCCATAATCGATTAGTGATGTCTGCCACATCTCTAAGTTCTTTAAAAGCAAGGTAAGGTCTTCTTCATGTGTTTACCTCAAGTGCAGAGCTTCCCACATCGTACTGTGACTATTCACTGATCTCCCTCAGAAGACTGGAGCCCCTCAAGGGCTGTCACCATGTTGGATTCATTTCCAATTCCCAATGCCTAGCATTGGTACAGGCACAAAGCAAGTGCTCAGTAAGTTTTTTTTTATTTATTTTTATTTTTTTATTTTTTTAAAGATTTTATTTATTTACTTGAGAGAGAGAGAGCACATGAGAGGGGGGAGGGTCAGAGGGAGAAACAGACTCCCCGCTGAGCAGGGAGCCCGATGCGGGACTCGATCCCGGGACTCCAGGATCATGACCTGAGCCGAAGGCAGTCGCTTAACCGACTGAGCCACCCAGGCGCCCCTCAGTAAGTTATTTGTTAAATGAGTATCCTTCTTCCCTATGTATACCTCCCTGCTTTCCAGCTCTTTTGGTAACATTCTACACATAACACAGGTAAGATCTGAAATATAATGTTTCTATTTTAATATGTATTTTCTGGCTTGGAACATCCTACCCATTAACAAAGGCCAAGTCAACTGTCATCTCTTCCGTGAAACCTTCCCAGATTCCCTCAGCAGATCTCACTGTTCTGTCCTTTGTGTGTCTGTACCACTTGCTAGTACCACTATTTCAGACATATTTTCATCCTGCCTTATATTTAGTTAGTCATTCACAGGCTCTCAGCCAGGAGACAGTAAGCCTTCTTAAGCCGAGGGAATGCGCCTCATTTATGTTTATATTCTCCCCAGCACCAGCAGTAGTAGTACTAAACATTTGTTGAATTGAATATCCACTGGAAGCAAACTTTGTATGAGTTTTCCAATAGCATGACTGGATTTGTACACATCTACCCACACTCCTTTTTGACCACTTGAATACATTTATGATAGAGCTGGTCAAAGCCAGAGGTGCAGTCTGAGGCCATTAAACAAAGAGAAAACTAACAGTCCCATATGGGGACATACCCCTGACCTGGATCTCATTAGCACCATCTGACAACCAACTGGGCCAACCAGCCAGTGTTTCATAACTCTTAATGATACAGGCTAACTTTGAGAACTAGGTTCATTTTTTTTTAATGACATAATAGGAAAATGATCACAGGCCATGAGGTAGGAAGGAGAGTGGATAATGAGGAAGGGGAAGTAAGAGAATGACACCACAGGGGACGTTCATATGAGGAAAGATCTAAAGGACAGGGAAGAACAAAGAAGATCCGGAAGGGAGAAAAAGTAAAGGGGAATGGAGCATGGGTCTCAAAAGTGGAGTTTTTATTCATCTATCCCATTATTCCAAGAACAAGGAAACAATTCATACATCTAGAAAGCAAGACCTGCATAGAGTAATAAAGAGACACACCTTTTGGCTGTGTGTGTATATTCTTCATCTGTGGCTTTTACTACCAAAGGATATGATCACAACAAATAGCACGGAAACATTTTTTCCCACAGAAATATAATGCGTGAATTTGCAAAAACACATGCTAGGATTAAACTGTAAAGGCTTTTTAGTCATTGGGCCTGTAACTTACCCAGTGGTTTACTCCTGCCTGATAAAGTACATTTCTGGAGATCTGAGGTCTGATTTGAATGCACTCAACGTTGGTTACTGTCAAAGACCAGATACTGGATGAGATGGTGCACTGATTTACCCTAATATGGAAATGTTTCAGATGATGATAGGTGCTAGGAGTTAACCTTATATAAAAGTGTTTATATTTATATTCCCTGACGTACCAAACTGATAAAAGTCCTGTCAAATGCTGTTTATGCAAGGAAAACAGATTGATTTTTTTTTTTTTTTTTTTGGTCAAGGAAGGTGGTAAGATGCACATTTTTATTTTAAAAATGTATTCTTTGGAAACGAAACCATTCAACTATGCTTAATCTGACATTTTTTCCAATTACACTGGAAAGCACTAACGAATGTATCACTTTTTTAACTTTGCTTTGTAACACTTGAGTGCTTACCACTTGATGTGCCATTTAAAGGATAATTAATGGATAAACTAAAAGGATAATTATTATGGAGTTTAATATAGCAGGCAAACTGCTCATTAATCCTTACAAGCATAGCTTCGTTATTATCGTTTACTTAAAAAGATGCCACGGGGAACTGGTATTTACCATCACATTAACTACATGTTATATACCCACACTCCGTATTTCTGCAATAATTTTGGCTTATTTTAAAAATAAACTTTATGTAAAATATTAAATAGCAAATCTTGTTGGCTAGTCGATACTCTGGAAAATTAGGCTTACAATCCTTACGTTTTTTTCTTTCTTCCAAGGGTTTAAGAGTCATGTTAAAGCTTCCTTTAGGAAAAGTTAACCAACCTACAACATATTAATTCACTGAACTATCAAACAGACATTAAAATTACAAATATGAAAAATAAATACACATAGAAAAGGATATACAAAATGACCCTGATATTGATCAAGATGAAAAAACACAAATGTAAATAGTTGTCAATTTTCTGCAGTTATTTAAATGATCAATAAAAGCATCTTATGGAACATATGGCATATGATTAGCTCTTAATAAATATGGTATAATCATTAACTTGCCCAATATTCATTTAAAGAGCTGTAATAATTTAACAAACAGGAAAATGCACCAAAATGTTAACAAGATTATGTCTAGCAGTAGGTTCAATGGTGATTTTGCTTTTTCTTTCTATATTTTCTCATTTTCTAGCATAAGTTTGTATTAAAAAAACCCAAAATTTTATTTTTAAAAAGTAAATAACATACCATAAGTCCATTTACCTTTCTTGTGTAGATGCCTAATTGAGACAGAAAGGTTAAAATATTTTTTCAGAGAATGCAGTGACAGTTCTAGCACTTAAACCTAGACTTTTGAAATTGTTTCTTTTGTTAATAATATTAAATTATTTTTTAAGGATACTTTAATAGGGATACCTGAAGAGGAAAAACTATGGATGTTATGTCTGATTTTTCTAGAATATTAACTGACCTATAAGATTTGTTTATGATGATTAATATCATTGTTAATGAGCAAAAATCCTTCTTCTAGCACATGTACCTCAAACCACTAATGTGAACTGTGAGCTGTGAAGACGATAGAGATTATGTCTAGCCAACTGATTATGCGTCTTGGAACTAAAGGTATGAGCACTGACAAAAAATGGGGGAGTAGAGTCTTTCCAACAGACACCTACTTATTTTGCCACTGATATGCCATAGCACAATCCAGGCCAGAAGTTTTGTTTCGGTGGGAAGGGGAAGAATTTTAAACAGGAAAGAACCACACTCATTAAGTCACTTCTAATCACCACATACTCTACTATTCCTTTGTATAACTGTTTCATTTAATCTTTCCAATAATTACAGGTGGTAGGAATTATAATACTCATTTTACAGATAAAAAAAACAAGTCTCAGAAATGTTCAGGGATTTACCTAAAGTGACAAAACCAGTACATACTAGAGCCAGGGTTTTAATCCAGGTCTTGCTCCAAAGCCTGCAATCTTTCTATAATACTATCTCCCAGAATACTTACAAATGCTTAAAGAAAACCCAGTTAGAATAAAGCTAGAGCACTAAGACTACGGAAGATTTATGAAAATGTGAGGCTCATTTGACTGAGAGAATCACACTCCAACCAGGACATTACCTCTAATTCCAAGGCTTCTGAGAGTAACTTCTGGGCATTTTTCCTGAATGTTTCAGTTTTGGGGTCACTTCGCACTTCAATAGAAGGTCTGTCTAAATGTTTTTCAATGAAAGTTCTCCACTCAGTGTAAACTTCTCTGGCAAGACAAGCCACTTCTGGATCTGAGTGCTGACGCATCTTGTTCACAGTGTGACCTGGAAGAAGAAAGGAGAAACCAAGGGAAAGGTGGTTCTGTTTTCTTTTGAAAAGTACAGGACTAGACAGGCTGACGTGTGGTATGTAGAAAGTCATTCACATACCTAAGAATATAAAGGTAAAGGCTCTTGTGCAAATGAAGACCCATTTCTCAAAGGCTGAGAAAACCAGATAACCATAGCAGGAGAATCACTGGACTAGCCAATGCAATAAGTCATAAAACAGAAGTATGATCAATAGATACTTAAAATGGAACAATTAAAGTACCAACTCCTTCGTTCAAAAATTGCAATAAGAGAAAATGAATTAAGCATTTATCTTGTCTTTTTGGTACATATTATATTTCAGAACAACCAAATAGCCCTACTTAATTGAGGGAATGTTCTTTACTCAGCTAATAAGTGTGAAAAGATTGACAGAATTTTTAAACATTTCATAGCCCATGATGAAATAATTCATTTGGGTGACAAGCATCAGGGGATGAACTCATTCAATGAAAGGTTGATGGAGAAATTTATAATGGAGGGATGAGCTGTCATCACCTGAACCACTCATAAATCTTAGCACCCGTAAGCATGGTACTCTCAGAAAGAGGTGGCACTTCACAGCCCTACCTATGCATAGTCTTGCAATCCTCCTCCCAGAGAAAACGAGGAACCAGAATCCAACCATTCAAAGCTAACCTCTGGTTTGTAGAAAATATGAGACAGAGGAATGAGTTAAATTATAACATGAGGAAAAAGACACAGCCAGAATGTGAGACATTCTGTAGGACCACAGACCTGATTTCTTCAATAGTCATTGGCATTTTTTAAAAAAATTTATTTTATACTTAAGTTTTTATCTGAGTGTAGCTGACACACAATGTTACATCAGTTTCAGGTGTATAACAGTGATTTGACAAGTTTTTACATTATGCTATGCTCACAAGTGTAGCTACCATCTGTCACCATACAACACTATGACAATCCCATTCACTATACTCCTTCTGCTGTGTCTTTTATTTCTGTGACTTATTCCTTCCATAATGGAAGCCTGTATCCCCCTCTTCCCTTCACCCATTTTGCCCAGCCCCCACTCCCCTTCCCTCTGGCAGCCCTCAGTTTATACTCTTGTGTTTACAGATCTGATTCTGTTTTTCATTTGTTTATTCATTTGTTGATGGCTTTTTTTTTTTTTAAGGGAGTAAGGTTATGGACCGCTATAGATTAAGAGTCTTTGGAGTTCAAGCTACCAAATGCGATGTGTGATTCCAATCCTCACTGCAACAAATCAACCATTAAAAGAGATTTTGAGATACACAAGGAATATGAATTTACACTAGATATTAAATTATACCAAGAAATTACTGTTTGTTAAGAATGATAATGGCACTGTTATGTAAGAAAATACCTGTATTTTTGGAGATGCATACTGAAGTATGCAGAGCTGAAAGAATAAGGTCTGGGATTCTGCTTTAAAATACTTAAGCAACAGCACAAAAACACAAAACTGGAAATGGTAAAGTAAGTGGGACCAAATCTTAATAGCTACTGAATCCGGGTGAAGCATATGGGGGTGTGTTCTATTATTTTCTTTATTTTTATGTAGGTTTCAGATTTGCATAATAAAAATGGAAAAAGAGGAAAAGGACCAAACACACCAATACGCAGACGTACCCAGACAGAGACAACTACATAGAAAGGCCCAAGAAATCAACTCAACACTTAGAATTAAGAACTTAAAAAGGAGAGAAGTATTAGATATATTTAAAAAAAAAATCAATAGCTTTCTTATGTCTGCAATAACCAGTCTGAATACAGTAGGGAAAAGTCCTGCTTACGTGAGTAAAAACCATAAACCCCGTAACAATACATCAACATGTATGTTAATGTTAAGTAACATTTGGGCATGTTGCCTCCAGTTCACTCCCAACAGCCCTGACTGGCCTCTCTGCCTAAGTCTGGAACCCTTTAATGGCATCTCCCACAGTGCAGCCAGCGTGGCCTTTTTAGAACTTAATTATTTCCGGGCACCTGGGTGGCTCAGTGGGTTGAGCGACTGCCTTCGGCTCGGGTCATGATCCTGGAGTCCCGGGATCGAGTCCCACATTGGGCTCCCTGCTCAGCGGGGAGTCTGCTTCTCCCTCTGACCCTCTCCCCTCTCATGCTCTCTCTCTCTCTCTCTCTCTCTCTCTCTCTCTCATTCTCTCTCTCAAATAAATAAATAAAATCTTTGAAAAAAAAACTTATTTCCTGTTTTAGAGATATTTTTTCTAAAACATAAATCTGACCATTTCATGCCTCCATGTAAATCTTTCAGTGCTGTACCCAAACTCGTATCTTATCACACAAGTCCCTTCACAATCTGTCCCCTCCCACCTACTTTCCAGTGAACCTTCTGTCTGCCTAGAACACCCTTGCTTCCCTTTTTATCTGGTTAGTTTCCATTCTGCCTTTAAGACTCAGTCTAGGAGTCCCCTACTCTAGCGAGTCCTCCTTAATAGCCCCTGTCTTGGGTCGGTGCCTCTCCTCCTCCTCCTCTGTGCTTCCTCAGCACCCTATGCTTCTGTCCCTTACAACAGTTGTTATAATTAGTTGTAATTATCTGATCAGCTACCTCTCTTGCCCACCAAAGAGAGCTGGAGGGCAAGAGCTGTGATATGTTCATCTTTGTCTCTCCAGCAGAGAACACAGTGGCAGGAGGTAGGGCTCGGGAGAGTGGGTGTGCAGTAAATGTTGGTGGAATCAGAGACCCATATGAAGAATAACATCTTTTTACCAAAGTATAGGAGGAAATGCAGATGAAAGGTGAAAATGTACCGTAAGATAGAAAGATTAGTACAAAGAGATTCGAGTAAGACACAGTCCCTGGGATTTGACGTATACTCACCCTGCCAAAGGGTGCACAGAAATGTGTACAAAAATACCTTACAGTACTGTTTGTGAGAGTGAAAAGCAAGACACAATTAAAAGTCCATCATTAAGTGTCCAACTGGTTAAATAAATTACAGTTCACTTGAACAATGACTACTTCGCAGCCATAAAAGACTGGAACAGCTCTACATGTAGTAACATGGAAAGCTGATTACTTTATTCAGGTTCTCCAAAGAGCACGCACAGAATGAGCCAATATTTACTTTTAAAATTATATTTGTGTATACATATAAGCACATATACTTGTTTATATGCAGAGAGAAAAGTCTAAAGAATTTATAATGAAATTATTAACCGGGGTCTCCTCTGAGTAGTAGGACTCCACGCATCTGTGCAGCTCAGCTCCGTCGCATGGAATGGCTCAACCTGTAAGCAATCCTAACAGCACGGGCTGTGCTGTAACAGAGGTGCATTCAGATTTTTCCAAATACAGATCCTTCCCTTCCATGCGTTCCCCTTCTTATCCTTTTCTCTCTCCAAGAAGACACTGTTGATCCAGCCTTATATGTGAGAAATGAAGATGCGGAAGTCCCTCCAACAGAGTCCTTCTGCTGTCAAATCCAGTGGATCTTCTCCACCCTGATGTTACTTGTTCCCTCTGTGACCTCTGATGCTGCTTTGTCTTCCGAAATACTCTCTTCCACCGCTTTTTGGGACACCACCTGTTACTGTTCTTTCTCTCTCTTCTGCTGGCTGCATATGTCTTACCTAACCTTTAATTATTGGTGAACCTGAGCTGGGGGGCATTGTCCTTGGCCTCTTCTCTTCTTTCTCCACCTGCTCTCCCTGAGTAATCTTACCCATTCCTGTGGTCCAACTACCATCTGCAAGCAGATGACTCCTAAATACATATCTCTAGCCCAAAGGCTCTCACTGAGCACAAGACCCAAACATCCAGTCCCCTAGTGGACACCTCCACCTGCTTCTTTTGCAAGTACCTCAACGCTTTTTTAAAAATTTATTTAAATTCAATTAATTAACATATAGTATATTGTTTCAGAAGTAGAGTTCAGTGATTCATCAGTTGTATATAACACACAGTGCTCATTACATCACGTGCCCTCCTGAATGCCCATCACCCAGTTACCCCATCCCCCAATCTGAAGCAACCCTCAGTTTGTTTCCTATGATTAAGTAACTCAACACTTCTAAAATGGGGAATGGAACTCATTATTTTCCCCCTCAGTCTCTCCTCCTGTACTTCATGTCACACAGTGGCACCACCATTCACCCATCATTTCAGGCTCTTTAACATTTTTTATATCTTTCCCTTTTCCTCCTCACCTCCCTTTCCTCCTCACTGCTACCCTAATTCAGGTCCTCACCACCTCTCTGCAGGTTCACTGCAGAGACGTACTAACCAATCTTCATCGCCAGTCCAGCCTTCTCCAACTCATCCTTATTACTCAAGTCAAAATAACCTTTGAAAACCACAATTTGAGGCATGCCTGTGTGGCTCAGTAGTTAAGCATCTGCCTCTTGGTTTTGGCTCAGGTCATGATCCCAGGGCCCTGAGATTGAGCTGGCGTCAGGCTCCATGCTCAGCGGGGAGTCTGCTTGAAGATTCTCTCCCTCTGCCCCTCCCCCGACTCTCTCTCTCTCTCTCAAATAAATAAATCTTCAAAAACACAATTTGATCTCATTACCCCCCTTAGCAAAAGCCCTTCAAGGGCTCTCTCCACTGCCCTCAAATTAATTCCTAAGTATAACATTCAAGCTCTCAATAACCTGGAAGCTCTTTGGGCTTACCTCTCACCTTGTTACCTCCTTTCCTCCCTCCGGTCACCCCCAGCCCTTCTGCCCCTTTGCCTTCATGGACTAAGTTCTAGTCATGGAGAGCAACTTGCAGGCCCTTGTTTCAGGTCAGGCTGTCTGGACTTCTTACATTTCTGTGCCTTAGCTCACACTGTTCCCTCTGCCTAGAATGTTTAAATGCCCACCTGACCCTCTAAACTATAAACGTCTTGAGGGCAGAACCCCATACCTTACTCCCAAGTTATAGTCCTAGTTCCTGGTGGTGCCTAGCACAGAACAATCAATAAATGTTTGCTGAACTGAATCAAATAGTTAAATAAAAACCATTT